GGCGTGACGCGGGGGCGGGTTTGTGTGCGTTAAGGAGCCGATTGCTCTTCTTTTCCTCGGAAGTGTGCCGCGGAGGCGGGTTTGTTGCGTCACGGGCCCTTGTGCTGAGCTTTCGGCGCAGGCGTGACAGTTGTAGGTGTCACGCGGAGGCTGTTGTGCGTTACGGCTGCTTTTCCTGTGCTTTGAAGACAGGCGTGACGCGTGATGCTGCGGCTTGTCTGCGTCACGGGTCCCTTTGCGTTGTTTGGAGCACAGGCCCAGGCGTGACAGATGTAGGTGTGACGCGCAGGCTGGTGTGCGTTGCGGAGCCGATTGCGGTTCCCTTCCCTGGGCGTGACCGTGCCAGGTGCAGGAGAGGCGGGTTTGTTGCGTCACGGGCCCTTTTGCTGAGGTTTCAGCACAGGCGTGACAGTTGTAGTTGGGATGCGGAGGCTTCTGGGCGTTACGGCTGCCGTTCCTGTGTTTTGAGCACAGGCGTGACGCGGGGGCTGGTTTGTGTACGTTACGGGGACGATTGCTCTTCTTTTCCTAGCAAGTGTGCCGCGGAGGCGGGTTTGTTGCATCACGGGCCCTTTTGCTGTGAGGTTTCAGCACAGGCGTGACAGTTGTACCTGGGATGCGGAGGCTTCTGGGCGTTACGGCTGCCGTTCCTGCGTTTTGAGTACAGGCGTGACGCGGGGGCTGGTTTGTGTGCGTTACGGGGCCGATTGCTCCTCTTTTCCTAGCAGCTGTGACGCGGAGGCGGGTTTGTTGCGTCACGGGCCCTTGTGCTGAGCTTTCGGCGCAGGCGTGACAGTTGTAGGTGTCACGCGGAGGCTGTTGTGCGTTACGGCTGCTTTTCCTGTGCTTTGAAGACAGGCGTGACGCGTGATGCTGCGGCTTGTCTGCGTCACGGGTCCCTTTGCGTTGTTTGGAGCACAGGCCCAGGCGTGACTGGTGTGCGTTGCGGAGCCGATTGCGGTTCCCTTCCCTGGGCGTGACCGTGCCAGGTGCAGGAGAGGCGGGGTTTGTTGCGTCACGGGCCCTTTTGCTGAGGTTTCAGCACAGGCGTGACAGTTGTAGCTGGGATGCGGAGGCTTCTGGGCGTTACGGCTGCCGTTCCTGTCTTTTGAGCACAGGCGTGACGCGGGGGCGGGTTTGTGTACGTTACGGGGACGATTGCTCTTCTTTTCCTAGCAAGTGCGCAGCGGAGGCGGGTTTGTTGCGTCACGGGCCCTTTTGCTGTGAGGTTTCAGCACAGGCGTGACAGTTGTACCTGGGATGCGGAGGCTTCTGGGCGTTACGGCTGCCGTTCCTGCGTTTTGAGCACAGGCGTGACGCGGGGGCTGGTTTGTGTGCGTTACGGGGACGATTGCTCCTCTTTTCCTAGCAAGTGTGCCGCGGAGGCGGGTTTGTTGCGTCACGGGCCCTTGTGCTGAGCTCTCGGCGCAGGCGTGACAGTTGTAGGTGTCACACGGAGGCTGTTGTGCGTTACGGCTGCTTTTGCTGTGCTTTGAAGACAGGCGTGACAATTGTCGCGGAGGTTCGTCTGTGTTACCGTGCCATTTGCTATCGTTTCAGACAGGAGTGTGCACGTTACAGGGCCTGCTGTTACGGCACAAAGTGCCAGGTGTAGGTGTAACATGGGGGCGGCGTTTCCTCTGTTTCGCACGTTTCCTCGGTGTGACGCGCAGGTTTGTTTGCGTCACGGGGGCCTTTGCTGCTCTTAGCCAAGCTAGGATCGGCCCCGTCAGGCACAGAAACCCGCCCCCTTTTCACGCCTGTGCTCAAGACACAGGAAAAGCAATGTAAAGCACAGCAGCTATCGGCCCCGTGACGGTGACGCACACAAACCCGCCACCGCGTGACACCTACATTATACACCGCAAAGGCCACTGTATAATGCTCAGCCAGACGAAGCACCCACAGCAAACACAGGACTACGTCGCGTGACGCGCGCACACCCCGTCTCAACAACCCATTGCAGTGACCTTGGAACATCACGAGGGAATCAGGAACATACCTGAAATCCAGTTCATTAGGCACGGTATAATGTAGTTTCAAGTCTATTTCTGGGTGACAGCATGTTGGAAGGTCCGGGCGTCACACCCGCGGACACATTCAAAGGACAGGTCACGGCCCCGTAACACAGCCCCAGTGTCACGCCTACGGACAACCAAAGCAGAAGTCAGCGTAACGGTGAGGGAAACCTCCGAAGAACATCCCGGTCAAAGCCCAACCAAAGCCCGCACAGCGGCTCCCAGAATGCAGGTTTAGCTCTCGAAGAAGCCTGGAGAAGCCCTACAGTTGCAGCGACTACATAACTACGAACAGTCTTGCATGCAGCAACTTCAGTCCGGAATGCCCCTGGGTTAATTCTTGAAGGAGGTCCTTGTGTCCACTGAGGTGCTCCTCAACGTCAGCGCCCGTGCTTATGCCGATGGGCGTAGCAGTCATGATATCTGCAAACACCGGACATGCGAGGATGTTCTCGATCGCACGGTTGATTTCTGCATCGTGGTCCAAGTTTAAGTTCTCTGGAAGGGAGGCTGTCGCTTCCTCGCCCAGATTCGCATCCGCGGCAGACGAACTTGCCTTGGCGCTCACCTTCGCCTTCGCACCGGCCTTTCTCTTAGGTGGCATGACGAATCAAGAAATTGAGAGACGAGGCAAGAAGCCCCGAAATGGCGGTCTACAATTCCACGACCCGAAGAGCAAGCTCGAGCTCCACATCCACACACTTTCAATTGCGATGATCATGCATGCGACAGCTCATGCATGCGACAGCTCTCATAGCAGTGCAGGACAAGCGTGCATCATGCACAGATCCACATGCCAAATGTACAAACACTGACAGACTCACCCTCCGGGCCTGCGTGCGGTCTTTTAGCCACATGCGCCTGCAACAGCGCATGCGGAAGTGACTGCAGAGCATGAGTCTGAGCGCGGAGCGGTCGGGGACACAGAAATGCACGCAAGAGTGAGTACTTCTCATCTCAGCTGCCCTCTCTGATTGCGAGGATCATGCATGTGACAGCTCTCATAGCAGCGCAGGACAAGTGTATCTCATGCACAGATCCACATGTCAATGTACAAACACTGACAGACTCACACCTCCGGGCCTGCGTGCGGTCTTTTAGCCACATGCGCCTGCAACAGCGCACGCGGAAGTGACTGCGGAGCATGAGTCTGAACGCGCAGCGGTCGGTGACACAGAAATGCACACAAGAGTGAGTATTTCTCATCTCAGCTGCCCTCTCTGATCCCTGGGGCGTTCCCCGCTTCTTGGTTGCACATTGCGACATGCATACCCTTGCCTCTGCCCTTCAGTCTGAAGTTCGGAAAATGTAAATCAGGGTCGGCTGCGACTCTCTCGGACAGATGCACTGGGAAGGAGATTGCTGGGTAAGATGCCGGAGGTCATGTTTTCAACACCGAACCCCAGTCATCGCAACAGCAGACTTGCATACAAATTTCAAGAACCCTTTCTTCGTGAACATGTTGGGCTCCTCTGCTATCTTCTGCTCCTCGCTATCAGCGAAGAGCCCCACGCACAGAAAGTTCTTCTTCTGCCCACGGAAACGCAAACTTCTGTCCACAAACTCGTCCAATGCATGAATTTGCGACCATTTGGACTGTCTACTGCGGACTGCATCCACGACCACCTGAGCAACCTGCGACTCCGACTGCAGGAATGCTGTTGAAAGAAAAATGAAGCGCTTCACTAGTAGGGCAGCATCGAACGCAAAGGCCACCCCAGAATTGCCCTTGGTTCGTGCATATTCGACATTGCATAACATCCCTCCCTGAAGCGCTGCAGCAAACAACACCGGCATACCCGGGTTCCCGGGGTCCGCAACCACGTAATGCGAGGCCTCAGCAAGAGTCACAGTGGCGCGGGAGTTGCTGAGGCCGTGCTCGGCCACCCACCCTGCATCTGCAACGTAGAAGGTGCCAGCTTGCACGTTCACTTTCTTTGGCCGGAGCTGCTGCACGATGGCATTCTCGCGTGCTACTCGCCCGGCATCGAGACCTGCTTGATGCGTTCTTAAAGCGACAGCCGTCTCTACCAAAGCCAAGTCCACTTCGGACTCGAGAAGAGCTCCGTCCAAGTAGGCCATGACTTTGTTGTCGTACTTCTCACTCACTTGCCAACCTTCTTCCTCCAAAACAGCCTGGCTGACCCAGCAGCCATTCTGAGCAGCCTGCAGCACCTCTGCTGGATCCACGGGCAGAGCGCCTTTGTCGACCTCCACCCGGCGTCTCTTTATGAAAGCCTTCTCGGACTGAGGATCCTGCAAAGGCCATGAAACCCCGCAGACCCCAACCTACAACAGACTGGATTTGCGAAACCGCAGACCCCTATCCTCACAGCAATCCCGGACCTTATAACCGTCAGGATGAGTCCTTGCGCTTCGGAACCCCACGGTCGATGCGCGTCGCGCAGCTGGCACGGGGCTTGCCGAAGTTGTCAAGCCAGATCTGCCGCCCGCGCTGCGACAGCCACTGGTGCACGGAGCAGTCGTGCAGGAGCATCAGGGACGCTTCGTCTTCCGCTGTAGTGGGTAGCATGCACTTTCGCTCCTTGGGCTGAAAGCGCTGCAACTTCGAAAAGCTTTGTTCCACACCTGACGCTGAAAGCCCACAGAAGCAGCCGTATTTGATCAGGACGGGCAAAATCACGTCTGTTTTGTGGCGCTGTCGCACCTGTGGCTTGCTAGCACGGCAGCGAAGCACGGCTGCCCGCCAACCCTCGAAGCTGCTGCAATGGTTCGTGGCAACCTCGTAGCGTGCGATAGGCTCGAGATCCATAAACTGATCCCGCAAAGCTTGCGGATCCTTGCGGCAGACCTGCGCCAATCGTTCCAAGCTGGCCTGGCGGTGCTCCGTCCACATGAGGTGCTCCAAAGTGTCCTCATTCTTGCGCTTCTCGCGGATGTTCAAGACAGACATGGCACTCAGCACATCGTGGCATGGAAACTCCTGCTCCACTGTATGCACAGCAAGGCGGACATATGCCTTGAAGATATTACAGCAGCCTGCCAGCATCTGTGCGTTCACACGATCTTCTCCACCAAGGGTTCTCGCCTCATTCTTGAGCAAGAAACCACGCTGATCTTGCAAGTAATCGATCATGTACTGCGTGTATCCTTGAGAAAGCACACCGCCCTGCAACTGCAGGAGACGCACGCAGAGGTACCAACCCTTACGTCTTACGTGTCCCTAAACCGACTACCAATGCATCTATTTTGGTCTTCACACAATGTAGGGCTGCAAGTTGCAAGCTGTCACACAGTACTAAGTTACATGATACCTTGCACGGATGTCATCATGCCAAGCTGGCCTTGTTCACAAGGAAATGCAGCCGGTCGATGAGACAGCCCAGCTCCTGAGGGAACTCCGCGGCGTCGAATTCCTCTTGGTCGCACAAACGGAGGACCCTGATATTCTCGTCCGCAATGTCCGCAGACATCGCCAATAGTATCAGGCCTTCCTCAGACAAGGATGCGAGGCAGGACATGCACCTGTCTCGCTCGGCACCGCTGCGATGCGCAGCAGCCCACAATATCGTAGAGAGCATCGCGTCGAATGTCAGAACCGCACGTCCTAAAGGTTTCTGCAGCGAGGCAAATCTGTGCTTTGCAGCACGGAGGTCCTTGATCCGCCTGGCATTGATCGGCAATCCCTCCAACTTTTGCACATAGCTGCGATAAACGCTAGCCAGGGCATTGCTGTGCTCAATCATCTGGCTGACAGAGTTCGCGCCGGTGACCCACTCCTCGATGACACGCTGGATCGGCTCCACCGCCGCCCAAGGGCGTTTCAACACCCTGCCGGGGGGGTTCCAAATGCAAACTCTGGACGGCCTATGCTGCATGCACTTAGTGCTAAGCTTAAGCTGAGGTTGTATCCCACTAGGTGAGAAGAGGCGACGAAGCGACGTATCTTTAGATTCCCTAGATTGGACAGGGCCGGCCGTTGCATTGCATGGCTCGAGTCGTGGTTGACAACCTTGGCATTCGGAAACATAGCAGACGGCCCGGTCCGGCACATGCGACCAGCAACTTGTTCGTTGGAAGCCTTGTCAGCACAGACGACCTCCACTTTCTCGCAGAAGTGATTGACCAAAGCCACGTCCAGTTGGCCGTCAGTGCCGCTGGTGCACAGATCCTCCAGCACACGACGGACACCGGCCACCAAAGCAGATGACGTCTCTCTTTCTGGTATGAATTTGAAACCCACCATGCCCCTGCTGATCGTCAGGCTCTGGTCGCAGCAGGTATACCTCAGCAACAAAACTCCTTCGCGTGAGTCCATCTTGAGCGCTATGGACTCGGCTTCTCGAATTTCCTGTCGTGTCTTCTCACGGGCTGCCTCGGCCAAGCAGAACGTCATTTTGCCAATCTTCCAAGAGCCCATGCCCTCGACCTTGCTGCAAAGAGGCCGACCTTCCAAACGCGCTTGCAGCACCTTTGTAAAGTTTTCCAAGCTTGGCGCGGCATCCTCGTCGTCGTCCACTCCATCAAAGCCAGCCTGCTTGGCCGCACGCGCATGCTGGCTGCTGTTGCCATGTCTGCGCACATTACCCAGCGACAGCGTCCGCACACGGCCTTCGGCCCACGGTGATTGTCCCGCTGTTTGAACCAAAAGGCGACGGCTCTAGGGTGGCAGGGTTTAAGCCCTGAGGTGCAACTACAAGTGTAAAGACGGCACAAAGCAACTGAAGCAACTGACATGTCATGTGTGATGCAATCGCTCGGTCACAACAAGAACCCTCTTTTCACGGAAGTGTGTCGAGACAGTCGTGACAAGTTCGCCAACTTCAAGCCTACAGGCAAGCAGGGAGCACCGAGGCTCTTACGGCCTACTGAAGGCTGCCGGTGCAGCCAGTTCGACTGCCCCCCCCTTTAGAAGAACCCGCTGCGACGGAAGCCCGACACACCTACCAACTCGTTTTGTCCAAAAGCTTCTGTCTCTTGGAGGTCTTTGGTTCATTCCTCTTCAAGCTGAGTAAGCGATCCCTTTCGGCAACGAAATCGGCATGTGATTGGTGCAGCATGTGAAACAGCTCAAGTGGGATATCGGCTAACTTAAGGGGAACCCTAAGGCTAGGAGCAAAATTTTCGAAACGAAGGTTCGTAAGATCATCTGCGTCCTGATTTTCTTCGCGCGGTCGCCAGGTCAGCCGGCACACCTTATTGGCCTTCCTTAGGGAAACTGCCATCTGCATGTGCAACCCTTGCACCGGCCACTTATTGCTGATCCCCTTTGACAAAACAGCAGGTGTAGCAGAGTTGTCTGTCCCGGCATGAACCTGCAAGCGAAGTGAGTCCCT